CTAACTAAAGGTCAACCAACAGGGACACAAGCCTACAAAAATCTTGAAAAAAATTCATCCATAGCTGCACATGCATGGGACAAAAACCACAATATCGATTGGGACAATGTATGTATTCTAAAAACAAACATGAACAAATGGAAAGAAAGACTCATAACAGAATCGATATTCATTAAAGTCACACCGGATACATGTAACAAGGGTGACTCAGTACAACTATCAACAACTTGGAATATAATTCTAAATACAAACACATGAATGAATGTAGAGTATAATTCTGAACACACATATGCACACACAAAACATGAATGAACTTGGGATATAATTCTAAATACAAACACATGAATGAATGTGGAGTATAATTCTGAACACACATATGCACACACAAAACATGAATGAACAAAATAATAATAATGAACTATATATGTGAATACAAATCATAAATGTGTGAATAAAACAATTCCAACAGTGGTGTGAACACGGGCAGTAATTTTGCTCGAAATATTACCAATAACAAAACTTATCATTGTGTGTAAACTATTCAAATATAATTATACTTTATTTAATTACTGCTCTGTAATCTTTCAGTATGAAATACAACTGGTTTGGTTCATTCAGTGGTGTTGGCTTGAGTCTCAAGTGTAAAATGCCTAACGTTCTTTAATTGATAAGCACATTCTTGATATGCATTTTCGTTAAGTGGGAAATTAAGAATCATACCTTGATTGGAAACTAGTTACCAGTGACTAACAGAACTATCCACTACAGTCCTAAAGGAGGTCAGTCGCGAGCCCGAATAGCTCAATGGTAACGTCCCTGACTGCCGGCTTAGATGGGCGATGCGGGTTCGAATCTCAGAAGGGAAAGCCAGTTGCAGATACGTCTTGCTGATGAATTCCAACAAGCACGAACCCTAGGTCAAGCAAGGCGTCCTGCCAATTGCCTACAACCATTTAAGTAGCAATCATGTTATATAATAATTCTTATGAGGCCTAATGAATCGAATTTTTGATGAGTGAATGTGTTTTATGCAGGTATGTCAATTGAACCACATATTAAGTAACGTGTTATGGATGAAATTGTTTAAAAGCACTGTTTTGTCGTTTTTGACAAATGTAACCGGTGTATTCCTCCTGGTGTGTAAATGAAGTTGAACCTCTTTTTCTAAAATTACTTCCATGTTTCATGTAAGTGAACTACTTATGTGTATCCTTCATGTTATTTAATACTGGATGGATTCATTTTTGCATCTACTTGAGGATCATTAACCAGATGGACGTCTCAGTCTTATGTTTATCATACACAGATGGATTTATTTTGTAAACGCATTGTAGATATCTGTTTTGGTTAACTAGGAACTAAGAATCATGGTATGTCAAGTTGCATTAGGCCTAGTGAATCGAACATGTAATAAGCAAACGTGGACACTTAGTTTTAACTTGACATTGACTAAAATGTCATGGACGAAACAGTTGCCCACATATAACATGTACAGTCTGGCAGTAGTTTGTCACCGATGGACCAAATGTAACCTTTTTCCGTTCTTGTAAAGACTGAATTCAGTCAACCTTAATATTAACTCCATGTTTATAAAACTAATTATAATTTTGTTCGAGTTGGATAAATTGCTTGAGTTAACCTCTTCTAGTATGATAGCTCACCACTTTGCTGGCCAATCGTAATACCGGAGAAAAAAGGTTCGGAGTTGAGCTATCTCTCCTTTAGTTCAAAAACGATCCATTCACTGATGAAACAAGCAATCACAATAAAAATCAAAAACTTAGCCCACTGTCCACAGAAATCTGAGAGATGAAGTAACACGGTTTGGTGTAATCTGGGAGAAGCTAGTCAACGAGCAATGGAAGTTGTTTTGTCAAGTTGTTAACTGACGATTCATAAATCGACTTCTATTACCCAGAAGACAAGCTTGAACACAATGACGTAGTGGCTGTCATCATGTCATAAACAGCAGTCAAAGTTCTTAAGAAGTTGGAACCAATCTCCCTCAGGATATTGGCAATAAGATACGACTTTAAAACGTAAATCAAGCGATGAAGAAAGACTTCTGTGGACAACAGCAAAGACTAATAAAAAGACACTAAATGACTACATAAAAAGTTCTTAAATGTGATAAGCAAACCAAAGTGGATGACGGCGACACAACAAGAGAACTCATCGTGAATTTAGAGGTTCTTGATTAAAAAAATGACAATGGAGGACTGTTTTGCATCTTTAGTGATCTGATGTTTGTAGGTTGCGTATACTTACACAAGTACACTGATAAGCCAAAATGGGTCTCAACAGGTGGCAAAACCAAAAAGCAAACAATCTTCAGTTCATATTTAATAGGTGGATGGTAACCAATAGTGGAATCCAGGATGCGCATTTCGTCCTATTTGGGACTCACCATCTAGATGTACCTGCATTGCCCAGTGAGTGATGATGCTACCACCGAGGCTCGAACCGAGTGCCCATAGTTTCAAACGCCAAAGCTAACGAGTCCTAAATAGGACAAAATGCGCATCCTAGATTCCAGTGCTAGTCGCCATCCACCAATTAAATACTAATTAAATGCCCAGACATCGTCGAAACATCTGCACAAGAAGCCGACATGTCAACTTGAGACCGAGCGCTTCTGTGCAATCAATCGACGTGACAATCTTAAATTCAATCAAACCCTCAGTTCAGTCTGAAAAAGATGGAGATGCAGTCTGTTCAACACAAAATCAATAAGAGAAACAGATGTAGGCAGAGACCAGAATGTATTGCAAGGATATTTCGAAGAAGCTCTTAAACAAGCTGAGAATGGCTCAAACTTCGCGTTTAACAATCAGATCAATGCAGATTAAATCTGCACACTAAGACGATCACTTCATAGGACTCCTGAATACAGAAACACATGCGTCTACAACAGGAATACTAACAGAATTGCTAGTGAATACCTATCATCCGACTAAAGCAGAAGTCTTCAGTGTTATAAACTTAATGAAACCCAGCCAAAATATAAACAGAACTAGATAAAATTCCTCTGGAAGCACTGATCAGGGATATGGAAACCCTAGCAGATATGCTCACCCCACTGTTGCGGGAAGTTTAGAAGAAACGCTATCTGTGGATTGAGAGAAGAGCTGCCTTGTGAAACTTCAAAAGAAGACTGACTGAATATTCTAAGACAACTTTCAGTACTGTAAAACCACTGTGGATAACTCTTGCACTCAACGTTATTAAACACATCCGAATTTGAAATGCTAATTTCAAACAGGCGTAAAATGGACCATACACAAAATACTTGGAGGATTTCGACTTCGCCGATGATATATGTCAAGTTTCCCACAAACTGGAAGATATGCAAATGAAAAGCAACAAGTTAGCGATCGAAGAAGCATCCAGAGAAGATTGGACAGAGGTGATGAAGATACCTGGCCAACAGCAACTACCACAGCAAGAACAAACAACAATCAGAATAAATGGGAGAAATCTGAAAGAACCAAGCTCCTTCACCTAAGTACCTGAGAAGCATCGTTTCAACTACGGGCAGACGGAAATGACTGGGATGTCAAAACGGGGATCGGGAAAGCAAGGCGAGCTTTGATTACTCTCAAGTCTGTGAGGAGGTCAACAGCACTCAGCAGGAACATGAACATAAGATCCGGATTTTAAGTAGCAGTGTGAAATCATCGCTACTTTATTGATCAAAAACTTGGTGCGTATGAAGAACACTTCAAACAAACTACACACCTTCATCAACTGCTAGCTGTTCTCGCGGAAAACTACTCAAGATTAAACGACCGGCCAGAAAAGATCAGCAATAATGAGGCGTCTCTGGCAATGAATGAACCGACCCATCAGGAACCGACTGTGCAAGAAATATGCGGGAAGAAATGGGCGTGGATTGGCCATACTCTGAGAAAACAAACCAGCATCAATTGAGTAACATCATACACCAGGCTCTATCTCTGTGTAGTGGAACCTAAATTGGAAGCGGCAAGTTGTTCAAAAGTACAAGGGTGTCATGAATGATGTAGGCAGGCGGTAAGGCCGGTGAAAGCATTGGCGGAGAACCGAACGTAATCGAGACGCCTAGTTGAAGCCCTAGGTTTTTCTAGGAACTAAACGAAACAATAATAAAATGATATTTAAGTGTTGGTTTGTATGGATTTGGTTGGTTTCAGGATTTCATCATGACCTGACATTAGTTAGAGAACCATTGGAAAACCTGGGAGTACTGGACAGCTGTTTCGTCCTAGTTTGGGACTCTTCAGCAGTACGCACCCACCGGGATTCAAACCCAGGACCTTCCGGTTACAGATCGAAGGTCCTGGGTTTTCCAATGGTTCTCTAACTAATGTCAGGTCATAATGAAATCCTGAAATAAAATAATAATAATTTCAAGTCATGGTTATTATTTGGTTAGGAAAACTGTAGCATCATGACAAGCATTCCTAGCTGTTAACTGGAAACTCTCTGCAACAGCCACTTTTGCATTATACTGAAGATTTTATTGCAAAATGATAGGCAACAGAGAATTTTGACAACAAGTCAAGATAAGAACACTGAATGAAATCAGGCGCCACCACATTGTGGTGCATCCGAATAGATGAAGGTGAGGTGGGAAGGTAAGAGTGGGGTTTAATAAATCCTTTAAAGACGAAGCCAATCCATCCTTAAAAAAATGCCCAACCCATATATTCCACTCAAAAACCAAAGAAATAACAATAATTTAATTAAATACACTCTTCCAGTTATTAAAAGGCTGCATCGCGTCAAAACTCACACACAAATGTAAGTCTTGAATGTTGTTCAAGCATATTGCATCACCTTAAAGAAACATAGGTATATATGTCAAACACCGATAGTCACATTTATATCACTGTTGCGCTGAATATTCCAAAAATATTATTTAAACGAACTTATACCATTCTAAATTCATCATATTTCTTTGAATATAGTCAGCCTAGTTTGATCATATTTTCCAATTTACTTTTCTTCTGAAATTTCAGCACATCGGAAGATGCAAATTTGTGATGCAATTTGTGCGAAGCCGACATTCAAGAGTCAGGGACAACACAAGGTCACTGCCAGATATTATATCTGGGTAAGAATACCATAATTTGTGGAAGAAATCCTTCCAATTCTTAGTTCCTAGGAGAATTACTTGTTATGCTATTGGTGACAGCTGGCTTCATCGTCTTATTTGAACTAAAGTAAGAGCGAATAAAAATGATTCATGAAGGATTACCTTGCATTACAGGAATGAGATTTCCAAGTTCTTCAAGGATAAATACTATATAGTGTTTATTATTCTGTAAGTCCTCTATTCAGCAATATTTATTGACCGCCAATTAATCCCTGTACACTGCGACAAATGGATTCCGGTTATAAAGTGGAGGATTTACAGTTTTCTCATTCGAAATTTACCGTTTTTCTTACTGAGCTGTAAATCAAAGTTTTCGTTTAATTTGAGCTTAGCAGTTTGGCACAATGGTAGAGTGTACCTGAATTTCAGATATTAGATGAGGTTTTGAGCACAATGTTTTGCTCAGAAGCACATCTATGTACTCATACAACTTTTACAATAGCTTTTCACAGCTTAAATTCTTTCTATATATTAACCCGTGTGTCGGTGGCACAGCGGTAGGCTGCTTGCCAATCATACATTTGATCCAAGGGTCGATCTCCGGCCACCGACGCATTCCATTACCTCGTTATGCCAGTAATAAGATTGGTAAAGAGGGAAGGTTGGTCATGGGGTTAGCAACCCCATCCTGTAAATTTAAATACTACTTCTACCGAAACTTCAAGCCTTTAGTTTGAAGCCCTATCTTCCACTCGAAAAGTAAAGGAATTATAAATATATGAAAACATAACACGTAGATCAGCGAAGAGTCTCTTTTCGGAGAATTCATTTTCTCAGCTGTACAATCGCAAATATACATGTGTTGTTTTGTGTGTATGTGTACATTAAGTTTGTCAAACAAAATTACAATTGGTTAAGGTTATTTTAATAAAACAGGTGAAGACTGTTAATACAAGTCAAGCCTCGAGAGAGGTCCACTAAAGCCAAGTATTGACAATTTGTGACTGTATAAAAGTTACGTGGACGACATTTTTATTATTTGTGACAACAGCAACGACCCCAATCTACTGCTGAAAACATATAACAGTTGCCATCCAGCAATAAACTTCACTCTTGAAATGGAAAACGAGTCAAACATTCCTTTTCTTGATGTGGAACCAACAAGAAGAACTGATGGGAGCCTGAGAACATCCATCTATAGAAACCCTACGTGGAATCGTCAACTGACAATCATCTATAGCTGGGTACCCACTCAACAAAAGCGGAATTTAATTAAATTGCTTGCCACCCAAATCCCACGCATCTGTAGTCCCGACATTCTGGAAACAGAATTAGATATTCTAAGAGAAATCTCCATCCAAAATAGATACCCAATAAGATTCATCGACAGAAATATAAAACCAAGAGTTCGGAAAAACGAAACTTTTATTGCGCCTAAAAAGAAACTCTACATGAACTTGGATTTCGAAGGAGATTTACCAAGCGCTATTCTCAAGAGAAGGATCGCATCATCTCTAAGGAGAACATTCTTTGTAGAAACGCTAAGAATAGTGTTCTCCGGTCGCCCACTGATCTGCAGAAGCCTCAAGGACAATATCCCGCATCTGACCACTTCTATGTGTATAAATCAGTCCACCTGCTGCTGTGGAGCCAGGTACGTCGGTCGTTCGACTCGCATCCTGTCCAAGAGGATTCAAGAACACTATCCAGCATGTTTGGGAAAAGGCAGTTGTGGTGCAATAAGGAGTGCGATAATTGAACACCTGGTAAACAGTGATCATTGCATTTCAACAAACGCCTCCTACTTCAAAGTAATCTACAGAGTCAAGAATAACCTGACAAAGGCAATACGGTTTCGTCTTCTTTGTATCGCTGGATCTCTGACCATTCACATGGAAAAAACCGGAGCTAGGCATACAAAAAAAGACTACTCAACCACTTCTACTGTCATGGTAACAACTTTTTTGTTTTAATTTGATTCGAGATTTTTTTATTTTGATGACTTAATTTTGTTTCTTTGTTTGTTTACTTACTATTACTATTATATCCTTTAATTCCTAGAGGAACATAGGGCTTCAGCCCAACGTCTCCACTGCATTTGGTTCTCTGCTAAAGTTTTCACCTGGCTCCAAGTCTGCCCACATGCTTTCATCTCCTCTTCACAAGACCTCCTCCAAGTCACCCTTGCACTAACGACCAACTCACCGCTTCCTTTTCGGCTTCCACTCGAGCAACGGCTTGTCTAGTGATGTCACTTGATGGTTTCCTCAGCGTATGGCCAATCCATCTCCATTTCTTCCTGCCTATTTGATGCACAACCGGTTCCTGATTGGTTCGCTCCCAGAGATCCCTGTTGCTGATCTTTTCTGGCCTGTCATCTGATCTTGAGTATTGAGCGAAGACAACTGTTAATGAAGGTCTGAAGTTTGTTTGAGATGCTCTTCATGACTCGCCAAGTCTCCGTATAGTAGCACTGACTTCACATTGGAGTTGAAAATCCGGATCTTATTTTTGATGCTGAGTGCTGTTGACCTCCACACAGATTTGAGAGTAATGAAAGCTTGTCTTGCTTTTCCGATTCTGGCTTTGATATCCTCGTCAGTTCCGCCTGTAGTTGAGACGATGCTTCCCAGGTAGGTGAAGGAGGCTGTTTCTTTCAGGTTACTCCCATTCATGCTGTCTGATTGTTGTCTGTTGTTGTTGTTGCTGCTGATGTTGGTGTTGGCCAGGAATCTTCATCACCTCTGTTTTTTCTATGTTCACCTGAAGTCCTAACTTTGACGCTTCTTCTTTGGCCAACTTGTTGCTTTTCACTTGCATATCTTCCAGTTTGTGTGAAATCAGACATATATCATCACCGACGAAGTTCAGATCCTCCAAGTCTTTTGTGTGAGTCCATTTTATGCCTGTTCCCTCGTTGGTTGCCGTTGTCTGTCACATTATCCAGTCTACTGCAATCAGGAAGTTCATTGGTGACAGCAGGCAGCCTTGTTTCACTCCCGTCCTCAATTCGAAGGGTTCCGCAAATTTCCCGTTGTGGATTACTTGGCATGCAGCATTGTCGTATAGCTGTTGGATGAGATGTATAATTGTCGATGGCACCCCGTAGTAGCGAAGTAGTTGCCAAATGACCTCTCGATCGACGCTGCACTGTCAAAGGCCTTTTCAAAGTCGATGAAATTGAGGTAGAGAGGTGACTGCCATTCCAAGCTTTGTTCAATGATGATCCGTAGGGTGGCGATTTGATCAATACATGATTTGTTTCTCCTGAATCCAGCCTGTTCCGGACGAAGTTTTTCATCTAGGGCTTGTTTGATTCTCTCCAGGATGATGCGACTTAGTATCTTGCTTGGAATGGACAGAAGCATAATACCGCGCCAGTTTTTACATTGACTTAAGTCTCCTGTCTTTGGAAGTTTGAATAAGTATCCGTTCTTCCAATCCTCGGGTACTTTGCCCCCTTTCCACACCTTCTCCATCAGTGGCGTCATCAAGTCCGCTGTTGTCTCTGGGTCTATTTTCAAAGCTTCTGCTGGGATTCCATCTGGTCCTGCTGCTTTTCCGGTTTTTAGCATTTTGATGGCATTCAGGACTTCTGATTTCGTCGGAGGGTCGATGTCCACTGGTAGTTCTGCTTCCGTTGTTGGTATTGTTGGGTGCGTTGTAGGTGGCGGACGATTTAGAAGTCTTTTGAAGTGTTCAGCCCAGTGCTTTCTCTGTTCCACCTCTTTGACGATTGACTTTCCATTGTCGTCCGTTATTGGCTTGACCTGTGTCGAACTTTTGCCCGAAAGGTTCCTAGTTGTTTGGTAGAGTGTGGCGAGGTCTCCTTTGTCTGCAGCTTGTTCTGCTTCGTTTGCCATGGTTTCATAATATTTTCTTTTGTCTTCCCTGGCGCTCTTCTGCAGTCTTTTGTTCAGTGTATTGTAGCTTGCATTCAGCTTCTGTTTTTGTTGCTCATCGATGTTTCACCATCATTTTCTCATCTGTTAGTCTCCATGTGTCCGTAGTGAGCCACTGTTTGTCCTGTCTCTTTTTTCTGCCTAGAACGTCCATGCAGGTTTGACTCCACACCGTTTTCAAGTTGTTCCAGTGCTTTTCGACGCTGACCTTTTGGCTGGTGTTGATTTGTGTCTCTGCTTTTTCCCTTATGTTTGCAATGAAGATGTCCTTTGTAGCCTGGTCCTTCAGCTTTTGAGTGTTGAACTTGGTTTGGGGTTTACTTAATTGCTTATAATTCTTTTATTCACTTAGATCTCTTACATAATTTCGTATTATCTACTTTGTTTCTATGTGCATCCTGAGTAAAACTCACTCATCAAACTATTCATATTATTATTACATAACTTCTTTTAACAACTGTTTGTGACAACTCATCACCTTTGCTACTACTCTAATTTCATTAACACCTAATTTTCCTAACTTGCATTAACAATCTTCACTTGTTTAGTTAAAAGTAACCTTAACCAATTGTAATTTTGTTTGACAAAATTAATGTACACACACATACAAAATAACACATATATATTTGCGATTGTACAGCTGAGAAAATGAATTCTCCGAAAAGAGACTCTTCGCTGATCTACGTGTTTCGTTTTCATTGATGCCTGGATGGGTATTATCCATGAATATATACATATACATTAACCCAATTTTCCATGCAAGAGAGACAGGTGTTGCATCATTTTGGTCCTACGTGATTGGTTTTGCTTTGACAAACCAGAAATTTGCGACCAACCTCTCAATCAACTCAGTTATGTATTTATTTTTATTTCATTTACCATGGCCAAAATTACTGAGTAATTGCACTCAAGTGAGAGATTTGCAATTACTTCGTTTATTAGACTAAATCACATTTGTCTATTTAAATTCCTACGTTCTGTTAATCCCTAAATCTACTAATCTGACGTATGCGGTTAACCTTGACATCATCAAAATTCTAACTGTTGAGTTTGATTCTCTTTCCTCGGTGCACTGACTGGTTTGTGAAACCGACAAAGTAGATCTCTGAGTGATTTGGATGGTTCAAATGTCATCTTAATTCAAAAGCCTACGTGGGGTCTCTAATTTTCATTATAATAAAGGTTTTTGTATTTCCCAATGAATGAATGCAAAACAAAACGATATTGTCTATACTAAAGTTCCCCTATTTAATGCTAATAGCTTTATCAAAGTATTATTAAACCGGAATCTACAAATTCCACTCAGCTTGTATATAACAAAGAGTTAAGGGGTGAGAAAACAGACTTAGGTCAAGTTAAAAGGACATATTGAACGTCAAAATAACAACGAAGATCACTAAACCATATAATAACGGTAATAGTACATCTCTTATGATATCAAAACAAAGTTTACTAACTTGATCATCGTTCGTCTATCTGGGGTCATTTATCATTGTCAAGTTGGTCAATTGGTAAAGATACCAAAATCAAGTGTCGATTGTTGGATTTCATCGGTGTGTAAAATTATAATTATAAAAGTAGTGTGTGCTTACACAATGAATTTGCTCATCACATTCGTGTTGATTTTGTCAATTCATGGTGGAGGGAGGTGTTGTAACCAGGTCAGATTCTGTTTTAGTCCATCATTCCGATTCAGACAATTTGGATCCCACTTGATATGAAGTGCTTCTGATGATATTAGACGTTCTTTGTGATTTCTGAAATGCTTTTCTGGATGATGATTTCAATGTTGTCAAAATCAATTTTGTAGCCTGATTCTACAATAATAATTATAATAATAATGATTTACTTTATTCCAAAAACAGTACTTGTGATACAGAATGGAATTTTCAGCATTAATCACAATATTGCATCTAATTTCCTCAAATTATAAATAAAATTAATCACACAGAAAATTTTCCACATTTACAATAGAGGTAGTGTCAAAAACATGCAGCATATAAAATGGAAATAGCAATAATAATGATAACAGCTAGGGTAATAATAATAATAATACAAGTGAAAATTGCCGTTGGCTTGTGTCACACAGTATTGGCAATGTGGTATAGAAATCCTAACATGTTTAAAAATATTGAATATAATGTTCTCTTTACATGATATGGTGAGGGGAAAAACAAAGATTACAGCCGTCATGGAGATAAGTTGGTGTTTGCAATTATGAGAGTAAAACAAAGAAGTAACAGGACCATAAATATAATAGAAGTAATAAAAGTAAAACTTGAAGGTATATAAGGATGGATGGATGGAGGAAATTGTTTATTTACTAGATGAAAAAAGGTTAGTTAATTCTTGCCTGACACTATTTTCATCACATAAAATACGTGCCAAGTATGGTATCATAGAATTCTTATACTTAGACGTGCGAGCATACAGTTTTCTGAAGTTACTCCTTGTTCTACCTGAGGAGATGCAAGGTGAAAGCTGAGGGTAAAGCGGATGCTCCAAGTCAGACAAAATCCCTTTAGCAAATTTATTGCACGAAGTCAAGTGCCTATCGACAACGACGTTAACTATGTGGTCCACTGGGACACCACTCACCCTACTGACAGTCTTCAGTATTCTACGAATTGTGACATAGTCCTTTTTAAGCAAACCAGGAAAGAATAAGGGTGAGCAATAAAGAAGAATAGGTAGGATGCAAGAGTTTACAAACTGTGAGATGAGGGGTTGAGTTATACCCGAGTGTCTTAACTTCTTAATGTAAAATGTCAGGCGGAATATTTTACTGGAGATTGCTAAGACATGGGAAGACCAGGAGAGATCAGAAGAGAGAATGAGTCCAAGATACTTAATTTCTGATTTGATTCCAATATCATTGTCGTCAATTTTACAAGTGTCATGAGAATCGATGACTTCTTTTAACTGTCGTTTACATCTTAAGCTGAAATCAACAGTTTGACACTTAGAAGGATTCAGTTTAAGACCGTTAGACTCAGACCATTTGCTGACTTCCGATAGAAAGCTATTTATTTTAGTACAATCTAGCTGGGAGTTAACAGCCATTGAAACCGTTAAATCATCAGCGTACTTCACAAAGTTTATTTCATCAGAGTGAGGCAAGTCATGCAAGAAGAAAGAAAAAAGAAAAGGAGAAAGAACAGCGCCTTGAGGGACACCAGCTTCAGTAGGCAATGAAGTGGAAGACTTCCCTTTATATACGGTGTACTGCTTTCTATCTGAGAAATAGGAATATAACCAGTTAACAGCCCAACATTCTGTTTGACTAGCAGCAAGTTTATTTAATAAGATGTCCCTAGGGACCGAGTCGAAAGCAGATGTATAGTCTAGGAAGGCAACACGAACAAATTTAGCCCCCTTGTCTAGACTGGAAGCAATGTTATGATATAAGACGGCAGCTGCATCTAAAGTGCTTCTACTGTGCTTATAGGCAAATTGTTTAGGGTCATTAAAGGATTTAAGCGAAGGTACAAGACTAAGTAAAAGTAATTTCTCCATAGTTTTCAAAAAAGGAGACGTAATAGCAATGGGTCTAAATTTGACACATGCTCCAGTGGATGATTTAGGTATGGGTACAACTTTAATGTCCTTCCAAACGGCAGGCACAATATTATCGGAAAAAGATTTGTTAAATAGATCAGTAAGAGGGTGACACAGAATATCAGAACATTTTTTAAAAATAATACTAGGTACATAATCGGGACCTAAGCTCTGGGAAGGGTTTAGAGACTTGAGGCACTTTTGAACATCATTTGTGTTAAAACCTGGAAAGGGGCTATTATTAACACAAGTGATGCTGGGAAGCATGGCATTTGAGGGAGAGTAAATAAAAGATTTGTTAAGAGTACATACATCAAAAGAATATGGAATATTGTTTATCTGCTTACCACCAGTGATTTCCTTAAATAGTTTCCACATATTAGAAGGATTTTTGCAGGATATGAATTTCTGGTTATATATTACATTCAACCTCTGCATTTCAGACTTAATTAAGAAGTTAGTTCTTTTTACACCACTTTTATCTTTCATCTTATATAGTTTTTCCTTCTCTCTACGAAGCTTTTTAAGTTGAGGCGAGGAGAAACGGTCAAATTTGACGAATAGTGTTTCTTTTGGACAACAGATTTCAAAACAGAATTTCAGATAGGATGTAATATTAGAGATATTGTCATAAGTGAATCATCATTAAACAAATCCCATCTTGTGTCACTGAGCATGTTTCTAAGATGATGTACGTTCTCATTTGAGTAGCATCTGTGAACAACTTTCTTAGACAAGTTTGAGAGGCTTTACTGTGTAACTTTCCGTAAATTTTGGGTAAGACTCGTACAATACAATGATCAGAATTGAAGAGCGGGGCTCTTTTACGAGCTTCGTATATTCCAGAATCATTTATAAATACTAAATCAAGTGAAGTATTTTGTCGAGTTGGGAAATTAACAACATTTTCATGGCCCAGCAATGTAATAAAACTGCAGTCGCTGGAGTTGAAGTCGCCAGTCACTATAGATAAGGAGTTACCAAACGAAGCAGCAGCAAAAATAGTGAATTCATCAGCGAAGATAGATAGTTCTGAGGGACTGCAACAAGGTGTAATATAGATATTTGTGACAAAAATGAAGCTATACTTAGATAAGTGTTTAGGTCGACATTTTACAGTTATACAATCAATACACAAATATACAGCCTAGTCGATGATTGTTTTTGATCTGTTTGACTGATTTACAAGTTTCTGATCACGGAACTTGTTCCAGTGAATAGTTATTTTAATAAAAAGATCTCCAATTCTATTGAGCAATTAATTTCGGCGTACACGAGTTCGAAAGATTATTTTGGATTCACTTTGCATACTGATACAATGATTTAGTGTTATGACTTTTGACTGGCTGGCTGAAATCTCTTTATGCAACTTCATTTTAGATCAGTTTCCGTCATTCTAATACTTATCTTGTTATTCGTAAGAAAAGTTCAATCGAAATATATCGCTGTTCTTATAATCCTTGGCAGTGTAGTAAGTAACCATTTTATTGATTCCTTAATTGATTGGGACCGATTTCTCATTAATAAAATCGTTAGTTTTACTGTCTTGCAAACGTTTATGTCTATGGTTACCCTTTCAACATTATTTTGTTGTCTTTATTATTTATAATATTAAATTTAATACAACAGTTATCCGTTTTTATTACCAACCTATAATAAAAGGAATGACGCTAGAGGTAGTTATTTCATTGAACACCTATATATTCGAAAATGTCAACATAACGGAATCCGTCAATGGGATCTTCACTGCGCCCAAAACTAGCAGACTGCTTCATGGCAAGCCTCGAAAACGGCCCACTCAAATCAGTTACTGACAATTACTAATTGTATGTTAGATATGTGGATGACGTCTTTATTATCTGTGATGACGTCACGTTCACAATTAGTTACTACAAATATTCAACAAATGCCATTCAGCTACAAAGTTCACTCTTGAAATTGAAAACGAATCTAAAATGCCCTTTCTTGATGTTGAACTTACAAGGAGAGTTGACGGAACTTTAAGAAGGTTCATCCATAGTAAACCCATATGGAAAGGCCAACTGACAAGCTTCCATAGCTGGGTACCAATCAGTCAGAAAAGAAACTTAATTAGATCTCTTGCTACTCGCGTCCGACGCATCTGTGGCTCTGATACCCTGGAAGAATAATTACACTTCGTGAAAGAAACCTTCATACGAAACGGATATCCATCCAGATTCGTAGACGAAAACATGAAACAGAAAATCCAAAAGCAAGCCAAAAAAGATACTTTATATGAACCTCAATTCTAAAGTTAACCTACTCATTGATGTCCTTAGGAGGAGAATTTCCGCTTCTCTGAGAAGAACTTTCCTTGCGGCAACATTGAGAGTAGTAGTCTCCAGTCCCCCGCTGATCTCCAGTATTCAAAAAGACAAGATCCCACACCTGACCACTTCTATGTGTATATATCAGTTCACCTGTTGCTGTGGAGCCAGGTACATAGGTCGGTCAACGCGTATCATGTCAAAAAGGGTCAAAGAACACAATCCAGCGTGGCTGCAGAAAGGAAACAGTGAACGTATAAGGAGTGCAATAATCGAACATCTCATCACCACTGGTCATTCCATCCCAACAAACGCCTCTTCAAAGTAATCTACAAAGTGAAGAACAACCTTCCAAAGACAGTATGGTTCCGTCTTCTTTGCATTGCAGAAGCTCTTGTCATTCATTTAGAAGAATCAGAACTGTGCATATAAAAGAAAATTATTCAACCACTTCTACTCTCATAGTAATGACTCCGTTGATTTGTCTTAATTTTCTTTGTTTCTAACTACCTAAAACCCTTGTGTAATTCCGTATTTTATTTTGTTTCCACGCACACCATGAATACAACTCTTTTATTAAACTGTTTACATTATCAGGTAACTCTCATTTAACAATCATTTATGACAACTCATCACTTTTGTTACTCTCCTCTTATATCAACATCCAATTCATCTGAACTTACTAACTGTATTTTCATCTGGGAAATTTAATGTGAACACACATACAAAGCAACCATATACATTTGCGATTGTACAGCTATGAAAATTGATTCGCCACTGGTGAAAAGAGACTCTTTGCTGAACTACTGGTCTTCTGTCTATTAACGTTCGAATGGGCATTTTTCATAAATAACGGAATCAATCATGATGTAAATATTCTGAGCGCTATTAGATTTGCGTGCTGCTGGATTTATCTTGAAAACCAAAGGTGATCGCAATTGCTGATATGAGGTTCTTGTTATTAGATGGTTGGAGGGTATTGCCCGAAAGCCTTGCCTGACCTAGTTTTCGTGCTAGTCGACACTCACCAGTCAGCTAGGAGTACCTGTAGTCTTGAAGGAACTCATGTCCCTGCTGAGATTCAAACCCGCATCACCTAGATCAGCCAACAGTCAGAGACGTAACCACTAAGCTATCCGGGCTCACGATTGACCTACATATATACATGTATATATATATATATATATATATATATATATATATATGTATATATACTTTTGATCGGACACCAAGTAGCTTCATGTATCCAGCCGTACCGTTTACTACAACAATCCTGAATGTATCATGATGGCAAGCCAGCTAGTATGGTGACCACATTCAAAACTTTACTGGTATAATTCAGTCTGCAGTAAAGGAAAGGACTAGACACATGATACTAGTTACTTACTGTCCAATCAAAAGATATGAGATCTTCTAAACAAGTAGAGAGATCCAGGTGCTAAATTCAGGCTGCAATTCGACTCCGTTTAGGCTGACGTAATATAATAATATTAATAACAGCTTTATTCCAGACAGTATTTGTGGTACAGATATGGAATTTTCAGCGTGCATTACAATATATTGCATATAATTACCTCATAAATTTTATAAGATTTTTAAAATCAAACAGCAACAACCAAAAAATAGATAAATAAAAAAATAAAAAACAACAACGTTGCGTTTACATTTTAAAGAATGCACTACAGGATGTGAAATATAAAATCGGTGTATAATAGAAGATAAGAACAACAGTGTAATAGTAACGAGGAAAGGAAAACAAAACTAATGGGACTATTTGTTAAAGTGCCGCAGTAAGTCTATCGTGTCATACCTAAAGGATTTCTCATCACATAACAGCTGTGCTAGATATGGTATTGTGGAGTTTTTGTATTTGGTAGTCCTAGCATATAGCCTCCTATAGCTGCTTCTAGTTCTACCAGATGAAATGCAAAGATAGAGCTGAGTATTGAGAGGATGCTCGGGGTCTGACAATATAGTATTCTCTAGTTTCTTACATGACATTATATGTCTATTGAATCACAGTTGTATGACGTCATATTATCTCCATATATCTCACATGAGATTGTCCAAGTCATGATACATTGGTAAACTTATGCATTTACCTTGTTCACGTGTGCAAAATCACCTTTTACTGAAATAGCTTAGAACTTTTATCATTCTTAATGCATTCTGAATGTCCTAGATGCATCCGCTTTTACAACAGTAATAATACACATGAATAGGCGGACTGCACATGATAGGAGTCGTGGTTCTCAGATTCTAATTAATAATAATAATATTGAAGTGACTTCATTCACATGAGAGTGAGAAATAAGCACATGTGACATGGACATGTCCTCAACATCATTAATCGATCTTTCAGGTACTGGCTGTCATTACTGCTTTTGTTCACTTCGCATTATAGTTTCTACTGTGGTCTTTCGTCTTTGCTGCGATGTTCCAATGGACTCAACTGAAGTGTGTCTTGATATCTCTGGCTATCACAGCTGTCATGGCAATTGCAGTCATTGTGCTCGGCTTAAAGTTACCAGCGATGAATCTAAAGGGATTCATCTTTTTCACTGGATTATCAATTGTATTCGCAGTTCTAGCAGTCATAGCAAAGATATCTGGCTATTTCACCTCACCTGTGGTAATTCTACACAAAATATCAATTACTTGTGCAATTTAACCAAATTTTTTTTTAATTTTGTGATGTAGTAGTCACAAAAGTCTCTCCTAAGCTGTACAATCACATGTAGATAACAATTTCTTTCAGGAGCAAACCAAATGTTCCATTTGAATTGTAAGTTTGAGATGAAAGCCATGTACTAGAGAAAGTGTTGATTGGATAGAAATTGAAATAAAATTGAATAACCTGAAAATCCCCCATTGAATCATATGAAAAAGAGAAGACGTTCAGCGAAGAGACTCTTTTCGACGACGAATTCATTTACATAGCTGTACAATCGCATTTATATATAATTATTTCTGTTTGTGTGTGTGTGTACATGAGGTTTGTCAAGTTTAGATAATTGATCAGGTAATAAAAGAATGATCTAATATAAAAAACAAGGTTAATCAGACGGCAAATAAAGTAAGATTGAATTAAAACAATTAGTCCCTTGATAAATTTGAATAAGGCATTAAGAAGACGAATTTCGCGATTGGTCATTAGTATGTGCTTTTGTTTTTATTTAACTAAGTAATTTTCATGAACTTTATTTTATCATTGTTAACCATGTTAGCTGTAAAGCGGTTGTAAAGAAACTACGAAATGACGATATCATCTCGCAAAATTTGTCTTCTTAATGCCTTATTCAAAAGTAACATTGAGTTAGTAAGCTAGATGGCGTAATAAAATTGAATGGAATGTTTCAACTTAGGTCAGGGTAATTACAGGTAGAGACTAAGTAGAAGTGAGGTAGAGAATGATGTCTAAATGACATCATTAGAACTGAAATTGAACAAATAGGTTGGATGGAGTAACATGAATGACTAGAAATTGAGCGTTGGTCAAGTCAGTGACAGTGGTAATGAGGTGTAGAAATTAGATCGGGTGGGGGTAGAGAACAAGAAATTTGAAAATGTAAAATATTACAATTGAGAAGACAAAATAATACTAATGAAGTGACAGAAAGCAAAGGATCAGGGAGAATTTACTTGTCGGGTAATAAGATAGATTGCGTCAATTGCAAGTGTAGTGATTGAGTGAACTTCTTCTGTATGCAGATTTCAAGACTTAGGGAGTGAATTGCTATTGCTTCTGCAGTTTGAAAAAGTCTGATTCGCACACCTTTAGGAAGACTGCTTCTTACTCTGCAGACGACTTTGAAGTTTGTTTGCGGTGTAGCTTGCGTACCCAGCGTTCCCTTTTCAAACGTATTACCGAACATTTACCAGTATGTTTTTACAAAGGAGAAAAACGGTGCCCCCGCAGCTCCATCTTAGAATATCTGATAGAATCCGGACACCAAGCTACACCCCAAACGGACTTCAAAGTCGTTTACAGAGTAAGAAGCAGTCTTACTAAAGGTGTGCGAATCAGACTTCTTCAAACTGCAGAAGCAATGGCGATTCACTCCCTAAGTCTTGAAATCTGCATACAGAAGAAGTTCACACAATCACTACATTTGCAATTGAAGCAATCTGTCTTATTACCCGACAAGTAAATTCTCCCCAATCCTTATTTTTCTGTCTCTTCATTAGTATTATTTTGTCTCTTCAATTGTAATATTTTACGTTTTCAAATTTCTTGTTCGCTACCTGTTATGTACTAGTTTTCCCCGTCGCCAAATTGTTATGTACTAGTTTTCCCGTCACCAAATTGTTATGTACTAGTTTCCCCGTCGCCAAATTGTTATGTACTCGTCGCTAATTATTGTTATGGACTGGTCGAGAAACTAATAGTCCTGACGCGAGAAGGCGGAAATCAGAAGACCACTAGGTTTGCGATGATACTTCTATTGTCCAAACACAAGGAGACGAAAATAAATGGTCTCACACCAAAGTGGTAAGTAAGTAAAGTAGTTGTAAAGTAAAGTAGTCCACACAAATTGTAAATGCGAATATATATAAATAATTCAGACAAGCGTGGGAAAATCATTAGACAGTCTTAACATGAATGGCTAATTATAATGGAGTGTCGATCCAATTATACATAGCGAATATAGCAGACATGCCAACAAACATATATGGATATATGTCACCAAGCAACGGACTGTCAACAAACACTCATATTATATATAATATAATATAAGGAGAATACACATTATTAAAGGAGACAAGTCCATACAAGTGAAGTGGTCACAGACTAACCGAGCAAACAGAAAGAGAGACCAACATGCACACACACACATAAATATATATATGTGGATACATATCACCTCCCCTTTTGAGAAGATGAATGATTAGTAGGATGTTTACCTGGGGGTTTATCTGGGACCTTTGGGCTTGTTGTTGACGCCTGTCGTTTCGTCTGATTGTTGGGTTTGCGGCTTCGGCTCCGTCCGGAATTGTCTGGCATTTTATGCTTCTTCACTGTATTGCGTAGAGAATTTAGTGGGACATCAGCCAGATGCAAACGATCGAACCAATCAAGTCCCAAAACATTTAAATCATTCTTCGTGACGTAACAAATTCCTGTGAATTTGGTATTGCGGAAGGAAACAGAACATTTGAGTTCACCAATTAGTTTGAGCCGCCCACCACAGGCGCTGACAAGAGACTGGGAAGTATATATGATAGGTGGTCTGCCAATATAATTCCAAAGTTTCTCTGATATAACAGTAATATCAGAGGCGGTATCTAGCTGCAGACGGGCATCATGACCATTCATCTGAAGATCAAGATATTTCCGCATACCTGGCGTTGTGACTTGACGGGTTGCGCGTAGACTCAATGACTTTTTGGGGGATTTAGGACCAACATTTTGTTGAGCTTTTGCTGGATTATGACATCTGGGTTGGCGTGGCTGACAAAAACCATTTTTGTGACCGATGATCTTGCACTTGCTGCAACGATGATTTTTGTATGGACAAGACTTTACAAAGTGCCACGCGCCACAATGCCAGCATGGTGATGGTGGGGTCTTCTTTGCAGTATTTTGTGAAGTTGGACGAGTATTAGTAGATTTCCGCGGACATTAGAAGAAGGTGTGTCAGGAGTAGATGATGAGAGAGATTTTTGCTCTTTCGTAATGCACGAATATCAGAGCTTCTCGAAGGTGTTGATTCGACCAGGTGTGTGTCTTTCTGCAGATTAATCAGCCGTTGATATTCATCAGCTATGTCATGTAATGTTAACTTGGGATTTTGTTCTAGCTGATTGAGCAGTCGAGTTCGGATATCTGTGAAACGAGGAGATTGGAGACTGCATATGAGAATCAAGGCTTTGAACTGATCATCTGTTAAGGACCTGAGTCGAAATCTCTCACATTCTCGGTTGACTGTGCCAACGTGAGTAAGAAAATCATCATTTTCATTCATTGCCAGCTTGAGGCAACGATAACGTATACTGAATAATGAGGAGTGGTCTCCGAAATGTTCACGCAGCAGCTTTATTGTATCATCGAAACAATTGTCACGTGGTTTCTGGGGTAAAATTAGGTTGCAGTACCGTTCATATTCTGCCGGACCCAATTTACGTAGCAACACTCGCACCTTCCAGGCATCGTCTTGTGAGGCGAGATCAACAGTGAATAAATCCTCATAACGTTGATACCATGTGTCAAAAGTGACATTAGCCTCTGGGTCATAATTGAACTGTGAAATGCTGTTCACAATTCCGTCGACAGATGGTAGCATGGTATGATTGGGATTGCTTGAAGGTGGAGCTGGACCAGTCTGTTGGTTGACGAACATTTCCATTAATTTCAATTGTTGTTCAAACAATAATTCCAATTTAGAATAATCCATAGTAAATTGTTATGTTGCTGCTGCTGTGTGGTTAATAGTAGTTTTTCCCCGTCGCCAAATTGTTATGTACTAGTTTCCCCGTCGCCAAATTGTTATGTACTCGTCGCTAATTATTGTTATGGACTGGTCGAGAAACTAATAGTCCTGACGCGAGAAGGCGGAAATCAGAAGACCACTAGGTTTGCGATGATACTTCTATTGTCCAAACACAAGGAGACGAAAATAAATGGTCTCACACCAAAGTGGTAAGTAAGTAAAGTAGTTGTAAAGTAAAGTAGTTCACACAAATTGTGAATGCGAATATATATAAATAATTCAGACAAGCGTGGGAAAATCATTAGACAGTCTTAACATGAATGGCTAATTATAATGGAGTGTCGATCCAATTATACATAGCGAATATAGCAGACATGCCAACAAACATATATGGATATATGTCACCAAGCAACGGACTGTCAACAAACACTCATATTATATATAATATAATATAAGGAGAATACACATTATTAAAGGAGACAAGTCCATACAAGTGAAGTGGTCACAGACTAACCGAGCAAACAGAAAGAGAGACCAACATGCACACACACACACATAAATATATATATGTGGATACATATCACTACCCCCACCCGATCTAATTTCTACACCTCATTATCACTGTTACTGACTTGACCAACACTCAATTTCTAGTCATTCATGTTACGTCCTCCAACTATTAGATCATTCTTGTATTACCTGATCAATTATCTAAACTTGACAAACCTCATGTACACACACACACATAAATAATTAAATGTAAATGCGATTGTACAGCTATGTGAATTAATTCACCGAAAAATTGAATAAGTAAACTGCTGTGAGGTAGTGTAATTTAGAATCCTGAGCTTGAAATTGCCAGATGTTATAAGCAGCACAAAGCTAATTATTACAAAACAAAAATGAATCCCTACCATGATGCTGAAATTTGTTCGAGAATAATTCCCATAACGATTAGTCTCCACATACAAACATGGTATATATCTCCAGGGATATGATTATGGTAGTTTTTTATACAACTTCCATTCAGTGTATTACCAAGCAAACTGTCGAATTTTTTTCGCACATTTCAGACTCAGCTATTCTGCATTCTGGCGGTAGTTTACTCTGCTTTATTCATACTTATCGTAAGTCTGTTATCTTATCCGGGTATTGTAATGATTAATGATTTTGTGAGTGGATTCTACACATTCTCTTTCATAACACCTCAAATTATCTAGTACGCCCATCAATCTGAGCTCATGGTAAACAGTTAATTCAGATATAGGAAAACGAAACACATAAATCTAAAACTGAGCTCAAAGCATGTCGTAAATACAGATTACGTATTGATTTAAACCATGGTGAACATTATATAATCTTGACTGTGTAATGTGACACTCTACGATTGCAATCGAAAGGCGATAATAAAGCATTAATGATATAAGTATAAAACATGGGCATTATGGTAGAGTATAACTGCATTACGGATAAGATTTTATTTTGATAAGTCACACAGTGTTACACAGCATAAACAATCTATACAGTAATTTAAATATTCTCTAACTTTTGGTTTGTAAGGATTAGTTATGTTTTACGAGTTGATCACGGATTGATATCAGTTAGAGAACCATTGAAAACCAGGGAGTACTGGACAGCTGCTGTTTCATCCTAGTTTGGGAATCATCGTCAGTACGCACCCACTGGGATTCGAACCCAGGACCTTCCGGTTAGAAGGCAAGCTCGTATATCATTTAGCCACTGGACACGATTCAATGGTTCATGAATTCTCGCTTCTACCAATTAGTGATTTAGCGTGACCCCAACCATTGTCGTTGGTGGGACATTCATCCACACACGTGACATCTAATTGGACCTCACTGGTCACAACTTCTCACTAGAACTCAGGAAACTCCAACCTGTAGCAAGTCACTAGCGAGCATCAGACAATGGTTGGGGTCGCACTAAATCACTAATTGGTAGAAGTTAGAATTCACGAGCCATTGAATCGGGTCCCAGTGGCTGAATGGTATACGAGCTTGCCTTCTAACCGGAAGGTCCTGGGTTCGAATCCCAGTGGGTGCGTACTGACGATGATTCCCAAACTAGGATGAAACAGCAGCTGTCCAGTACTCCCTGATTTTCAATGTTTCTCTAACTGATATCAATTTAAATATTCCCATAATAATAATGATAATTACAGAACATGATTTAAGCAAATACGCTTTTTCGGTAAACTCTCATCAAGCAGCTTCACATCTATATAATACAATAATAGCTATAAGCATTTCAATTATTATGGTTAATAAAATTTGTGATCAGAGGTGTGAATCAATAGATAACGATCGAGGCGATCATAATTGGTAATAATAATAATAAGAAGAAGACTAAAGTCTTTCAAGTGTTTATGTTACCTAGGCAACAGTCATTGTATAGATAGCATGTGCGCACTAGTACAAGTAGAGGGGAAAATAACTATTGTCACATGGCATGAAGTGACAAAAGTTAGAATTCACGGACTGGACATTAGATTTGTGGGTCTTAGTGGCTTAATGGTCTATGAGCTCGGTGGCCTTACAACCGGAAAGCCCTGGGTTTGAAACCTGGTGGTAGCTGCGTACTGTTTAAGAGTTGCAAACTAGGCTGACAAAACAGCTGCCCAGTACTCCCAGTTATCCAGTGTCACCGAGAGAGATGTTTATTTCAGGTTGGGGGATGAAGTTGACCACAAGAGGGAGAAAGATTGAACAATCTATTTCTGAACACAGAGAGTTTGGGTTGGAAATTTCTTATAGCAACTGCCTCAGCTATGCTTAGTAACTGAAAAATACCAACCTAGGGAGTTAAAACGGAATTTTATAAGCTGAATTTGTGTCAGTCTTGTGTGGCATATCCATTAGGTATGGAAATTCTGATCGACTTTACGCCTCCTCTGCCTAACCACGATGGACAATGCTCTAGAGGGTGACGGTGGGCATGACAAGTCGTTCCACCTTTGTAACTGTCTCCACACGAACAGTTAAATTCATAAGTTAACATTGAAGTGGCAAGATTCGGTAGCTTATCCTTCACCTGTGTTGGAATTATGCAACGCGTGGCGAACTTAAAACACTATGTTGCAGCAAAGAATCTATTAGCTATTATTTTCCTACTGCACTCAGCATGAAAAATAAAATCCGGATTTTCAACTCCAATGTGAAGTTAGTCAGTGCTACTCACTATACGGATCAGGGACTTGGCGCGTCATAAAGAGCATCTCAAACAAACTACAGACCTTCATTAACAGCTACCTTCGCTCAATACTCAAGATCAGATGGCTGGCCAGAAAAGATCAGCAACAAAGATGTCTGCGAGCGAACCAACACAGCAGGAACCGATTGTGCAACAAATTGGCAGGAAGAAATGGAGATGGATTGTCCATACGCTGAGGAAACCATCAAGTGACATCACTAGACAAGCCTTCGAGTGAAACCTGACAGGGAAGCGGTGAGTTGGTCATCAGTGCAAGGGTGACTTGGAGGAGGTCTTGTGAAGAGGAGAGATGAAAGCATGTGGGCAGACTTGGATCCAGGTGAAAACTTTAGCAGAGAACCAAATGCAGTGGAGACGTTTGGCTGAAGCCCTATGTTCCTCTAGGAATTAAAGGAAATAATAATATTATATTATTTTCCGAAGTTTCGATGCCAGCAATTCAGCTCCTTTGTCTCCTTTAAACCGTAAATGATGTGAATGTAAAGCCTGACAAGAATTCATCAAAAATGCATATATGTTTAAATCATGTTCCATAATCGACACAATCCTGACATTTTCAAGTTTCCAGGGTCTGTTACATACACGTGTGCTTCGTCAGTCATAGAATTAATAATGACTCCATGTAAAACAAAAATATCTGGAGAAATGTGAGTCACAATCTCATAACTTAAGAATTATGTGCACATATAGATATCAACATGAGTTAATGTTGTCTACAATGTTTCAAAGAAGCGAATCAATCTCAAGGTTATCACAGCGTGTTTGACAAAATATTGCTAAACACAGTTTGGACAACAACAGACGTTATCACAACCCTGTCAAACTCTCTTTCTCTGCTAGACTACAAGATGCAAATTAATGAAGTGCTGGCATAACCGGGCATGGAAGAAAGATGAAAACTAACTTGGAAGTATTCCTCTGAAAAATTGGCTAGGATGAGTTGTAAAACTGTGCGCCGGTGTCACAGTGGTTGGGATTCACGCCGACCATGCACATGGTTCAGGGTTCGATACCTCACCGACGCACACCTGACATCTATGATCAGCCTGCGAAATTTGGACTACCAATATCACATGCTGAAAATTCCATACTTGTACCAAAAAATACGGTGTGGAATCAAGCTGAAGTAAAAAAAAAAAACTAAGTCTAGGAAATATCGCCTGAGACGAAAAACAAGGCGTCCTAGACTGATACATCAGCGGTTGAGCTACGCACACTGTAACCCATAAATTAGGCATTCTTGGTGTGATGAGATGGCTTAAAATAACCTATTTAATTACCATACAATATGGATACTTGTACACTTATGCAGATGCAAGATTTTCGTTTTCTTACTAAAATACATTTTGTTATCTACATTACAGATCATGTTTATTTGTCTGAATATGAGGAGTTGGATTATATGGTGGTTTGCACCTCATTCCACAGAATTTATTCTCGCCTTTCTTATTTGGTTTCTGACGATTAGCTTATTCTCACAAATGTACTCGAGCTTGACTTCTTGTGCACTAACCTCCAGTGGATAGTAACGTTTGTAATAACTTGCTGTTTGATTTTTCTATCTGAGAGTTAAATTAAATTTGTTTTTCTCAATATTGATGATATTTTTTTACCGATTTGAAGTACCTGATTTTAAATGACAAATTTTCAACCATCTTTCCGTTCTATGATATGAACTATGTAATAGATTTCACCTGCTTGACTGACTGACTGGTTTGAACATACAACTGCTATGCACCGATGTGCAGCAGTTCGAGTCGCCACACTCCCTCCATGTAGCCCACTAAGCAAGAAAAGTCAGTAAAAAAGAAACGCGAAATACAGACAGTAAACAGAGATATGAAGCATAAATAATAGTAATATCAAAGAACAATATAGTTTTATTGGATATAATAAGTCATCAGGAACGATTTTGACCCATATCACTAATTGTCTTAAGTCATTGGTGTTCAACGTCCCGTAGAATCCAACCAGGAAGTGTAAACCTACTTACATGGCTGGCTTAAGCTAACTGTTGTGAATTTCATTGACTTATGAAGTTATGTTTTGGTTTGACCACCAGCAACTGGCTCTTTTCCAACCTGACCCTATATCAGCTAACACTGCCCATTGTCGAGGAAGGCGGTCAATGGCTAGGCATGCATAACACAGCTGTGAGACTCTGATATTTTTCAGACATTAAATACACAAATAGAATCAAGTAAATGAGTGACATCTATGGACACCAATGACTTTGTATCTTAAGGTAACATGTTTAAAAATTTAGTATCCTCCAGAAATTCGTTGACAAAAAAGCGTCAATTGTAAGCAATAATTTGTTTATTCATTTACTCCTGAGAATCAGTAATATGTTGGCGATTGGCGAACACAATTATATGTTGAGCATAGATGTTCATCTAATGCATTAGTATGAGAAGTGATAACCCAGAAAATCACAAGAATTCAAAATCCGCAGAATTTTTCGATGATTCTACAGTCGAATACAATACGCGAACGATTAAAGACCTGAATCTATCTATGCGCTTAAGGAATAACAGTCAACGAATGCTGTCATATACAGATTATTGAAGGGAAATACATAAAACACGGAAGGAGACAAATCTTATTCACTATTAGAAAGTGAAAACAGTTGAATACAGAATGAATAATGAGTATATACAAGATTGGTTTAGCTGCCAACATCATTCTCTGAATAAAAGAAGATGTAAGCTGGCATATATGTCACCCTGAATCAATGGTTATTTCTAAATTTAACATTGAATATCATTCACTCAATTCAACATCTGAAGACTAGATTACGTAGAGAATTGAAATTTACAAACAATGTTGAACGTTATACATCCGTTAGGATTCATTGGTTTGATTGTATCATACCATTCTCTTCCAATGACTGTCTCAAAATGAGCAGATTTTGCAAAAATACAGTTCAAGTGACGAAATTATAAGATTCTTCTAGGATGGTGAGAGTAAGGTGGAAGAATTATTTTCCAACAGACACGTGGTCCTGGTTCGATTCCCGGTCGATGTAGACCAAAAACTCATTTAGACGGTAAGATCAGGAAAGAGAGAAAACTGGTTATGAGGCTACCAAGTAACCATGTGAAATAAAACGGTGACAGTGAAACTCCGTTACTGAAGCTGGAATCCTAATGCTCTACTCAGAATACGAAGGGATGAATAAATGTGTCAACATTTAGAAGAACAAGAGTATGATTTTGTAGTGACGTACCTTACTTAGTATTTAGTCAGTAAATATTTCTGTAAAACACCTTCATTCCCACATAATTACAGAAAAGTAATCGATTAAACCTGTAGCCGAGTTGAACAGTCCTCTGAACCGTTTGACTCAATAGCGGGTCTTTCTTGAGAACAACATTTGCATCTAATAGCCTTTTTGGCAATCTCATTTGTAGGCTTGAGAATATATTATCAATGGTATTATAATCGCTCCCTTTAGTTCCTAGAGGAACATAGAGCTTCAGCCAAACGAATCGATTGCGTTCCGTTCTCCTCTAACATTTTCATCTGATTCTACATCTCCCCACACTCTTTCGTCTCCTCTTCGCATCACCCACTCCGTGTCATCCTCTCACTGATGGCTAACTCACCGCTGCACATAAGGGTTCCACTCACGCAATGGACTGGCGTGCGCTGTTACTTAATGATTTGTGTTCTCAGAGTGTGGCCGGTCCACATCCATTTCTTCCTGCATATATTTAGCACAATTGGTTTCTTCCGGGTTGGTTGGTTGGTTCGTTCGTTTTACTTTATTTCTAGTGAACTAAAGTATGTTGAAACAACAGTAGCAGCAACATCCAGCGCCAATCACCACCAACGGGGGGATTTGAAAGAGATTACTTCATTCACTCACTTATCTAGGGAGCATCGTATCAACTACAGGCAGTCGGAACGGAAGAGGATGTCAAATCGAGTGAGAATCGGGAAGGCGAGAAACACATTCATCAACCTGAAATCAATCTGGAAATCTTCGTCACTCAGCATCAACAACAAAATCCAGTCGGATCTTCAATACAAACCTGGTCAAGTCAGTCAGTTCTTCTATACGGATCAGAAACCTGGTGGGCGGGTCACAAAGAATATTTCCAACAGCTCCTTGCAGACCTTCATCAACAACTAACCGTCTTCGCTGTATACTGAAGTTCAGATGGCCGGGCTGGAAAGAATCACCAACAAGAAACTCTGACTGAGAACAAACGAAACAAAAACCAATCGCCAACCAAAAAATATGCAGGAGAAGGTGGAGATGGATTGGATACTCGCTGAAGAGGCCTCTGGGTGACATCGTGCGCGCGTCAGTCCATCGTTCGAGTGGAACCCGAAAGGGAAGCGGCGAGTGGGACGTCAGTGCAAGGGTGACATAGAGGAGATCGTGTGAAGAGGAGTTGAAAGAGTATGGACTAACATGGATGCAGGTGAAAATTACAGCAGAAGACAGAAGTAAGTGGAGACGTGCAGTTGAAGTCCTATGTTCCACTGGGAACCCAAGGGAACAACAATAATAATAAAGTATGTTGAAACTGAATTGGAATAATTAAATTTCATTGTTTAAACTTCATACAACTGGAAAAGGTGCCAATGAAGTAAACGCTGAACTATTTTAGGCCCTATCATTGCTGTTTTTATCGCCTTGTTCAAATATTTACATTTTTATAGCATGAACAGAGTTCAAAAACCCCTGTGAAGTTGACTAGTACTGAAAAACAAATCGGACTATGATCAGTCAAGACATATATATATATATATATGTATTTTTAAACAAAACTGTCACACTGTAAGGTAATAAAAAGTATATTTACGCAAGGTAATGTGTATGAAGTGAGGCGTTACTTCATATAAGTGAATAACTGTTCTGTCCCTTGTGTGAGTTATGGTTTCTTTGATACATTCTTGAACATCATTTAAGATGATAATTCCTGTGGTGATTTTTATTTCATATTTTTTAATTCATGAATAATTCTCATCCAGGCATAAATGGAAACAAAACACTTAGGTGTTGGATTTGATTAGTGTGTAAAATTATGAAAGTAGTGTCTGTTTACACAATGAAATTGATTATCACATTCGTGTTGATTTTATCACTTCATGGGGGAGGGGAGGGAGCTGTTGTAACCAGATCAAATCCAATTTAAGTCCATCTTTCCGATTCAGACAATTTGAATCCCACTTGATATGAAGTGCTTCTGATGATATTAGACGTTCTTTGTAATTTGTGAAATGCTTCTTCTCGATTATTTCAATGTTGTCAAAATCAATTTTGTGGCCTGATTTTATAGCGTATAGACGAGCTATGGCTGATGACTTTTCAAGCTTTTCTAGTTCAACCAGCTTTCTCGGTGGTCGAATAGATGCTCTATGGTGTTCGTTTCTTCTGATTTTGATTTCTCGAGATGTTTGTCCGATGTATATCGCATCACATTCTTAGCATTTTATTTTATAGATACAATAAGATAGACAATCTTCAGGGATTTGATCTTTTATATGGACAAGGTTGCTTTGTAGTGTGTGTCTGATGTTTTGAAGAAAACTCTAATGTCGAGCTGATTGAGTACTATTCTGATATCATCTGACGTCTCTGCTCTATATGGAATGACGACTGTTAATGGCCATGCTTTCGGAATGCGTTTTCGGCCATACTTAATGTCTGTTTTGATTCTGTTGATGAAGTTCGTTGGGTAGTTGTTTTGCTTGAAAGTTCCAGTAATGTTTGATATTTCTTCTTCGTTTTCTTTCTCATCCATTAACATCAAATAGTGTCCTCGTCTAAGAAGACTTGAAACAACTGAAATCTTTGCGCTGATGAGGTGTGATGATTTGAAGTCTAAATATTTATTGCAGTGTGTTTTCATCCTGGATATGGATATACTAAAATGTCCGTTTTACTTTCTCTTAACTAGGCAGTCTAGAAATGATAGTTCACCGACATCTGATTCTGCTCCCGAAGTAAACTGTTTATTTTCTCCAGGAATGAACTGTGTAGATCTCGTTCCGTAGCACTACAAAAGTATCATCTACATATCTTAAATTGTATTTTTCTTTGACAAACGTAATGACTGTCTACTATTTGCAATGATTCTCCTGATTGCTGTAGACTGGATAATGCGACAGACAGCCAGTCGAGAAACAAGGCGACAGGCGTAAAATGGATAGACCCACGCAAAATACTTCAAGGATCTGGACTTCACCGATGATAAATATCTGACTTCCCACAAACCGGAGGATATGCAATTGAACAGCATCGAGTTGGCTGAAGAAGCATCCAGAGAAGATAGGACTTCATGTGTACACAGAGAAGAAAAAGTATGTGATAAAGATTCCTGGCCAACAGCAACACCAACAACAGTAACGGTCAACAATCAGCATAAACGGGAGAAATCTGAAAGAAACAACCTCATTTACGTAAATAACTACCTACCTGGGAAGCATCGTTTCAACTACAGGCAGACGGAACTGATGGGGATTTGAAAGCGAGGATCGTGAAAGCAAGGAAAGCTTTCATTTCTCTCAAATCCGTATGGAAATCAACAGCCTTCAGCATGAAAATGAAAATAAGATCCGGATTTTTAACTCCAATGCGAAGTCAGTCAGTGCTACTTACTACACTGATCAGAGATTTGGCCAGCGCATCACGCAGGGCACTTCGAACAAACTACACACATTCATCAACAGCTAGCTGTCTTCGCTCAATACTACTCAAGATCAAGTGGCTGGCCGGATCAGATCAGTAACAGGGATCTCTCGCACTGGACGAACCAACCAACCCAGCAGGAGCCAACTGTGCAGCAAATATGCACGAGGAAGTGGGGGTGGATTGGACATACTCTGAGGAAACGAACCATCAAGTGACATCACACACCAGGCCACCGCTCGAGTGGAACCTGAATGGGAGGCGGCGAGTTGGTCGTCAGTGCGAGGGTGTGGTGACATGGAGGAGGCAGACGTGGAACCAGGTGAAAACTTTGGCGGAGAACCGAACGCAATGGAGCGTTTGAGGGCTGAAGCCCTATTTTCCTCTAGGAATTAAAGGAAATAATATAATAATAATAATAAAACTTGAACCAACGATTTTATGCAATCATATGTATTTTCCAGTTCATCATATTCATCTAACCTTGATAAAAACTTTTGCAATCGTGTCCTCAATTTCAATCTACCCTTTTAATTACAGAAAGTCATAAGATGCTAATTCTCGATACATCTCTGAGTATTTCAGTTTACAGAATTCAGCAGAATGAAAAAGTCACTGAATTCTCCATTACGTGGGTAAGTATACCATCATCTCATAAACCTAATTCATGCATGCTTAGTACATCGTAGATTTAATTCTTATGATGCTTATCACAGTCGGAGCTGTCGTCTTGTTTAACAAATTGTAAGTCCGAATAAGGGTTAATTATTACATATTGTCCTTCTTTGCAGAGACGTTATTTCTCTATTCTTCAAAACTCACTACTATGTGACATTTATTATTCTGTAAGTTCCCCTATTTAGGTGAATATTTTGATGACTGAAGAGTTAAGTAGACGAAATCAATATTTATACTTTGACAA